TGGTACACAATGGGGAGTCAGTGTCTGCTTTTGAGCTGGGAGGTAACCTAAGCAGGCTTGTATGCTGAGAAGACAAATCTGGCAAGGATTGTAGCAGAGAGTGTCTGAGGGTGTGGACAGAGCACAGTGTCTGAGTTCTGAATCATCAGATGCCATCCTCCCAGCTCCCAGGTGAGTGTGGGTTCTCCAGAAGAGTGCATTCCTAGGAGATTACTTTTGACCTTTGAGGTTTGCAGTACAACAGGGCCCTCTACAGGCATCTCGATAATTGGGCATAGAGGAATTTAGATGAGGAAATATCTTCAAATTAATCCAAAGAACCAAGTTTGTAGGCTTAAAGGCTGATAGGAACCCTGAATTTGCAGCATAGGCAACAGAAGTTTGTTCGATGTTGAGACTACCACAGTCTTAACCAAAGCTATGTGAGAGAATAAGACCAGTGCTTTATACCTTCTATTTTCAAAGGAAGCTAGATTTTTACTGTAAAATTTCTTGCTTTCTAAATGTGAACTTGATTTAAAAGAAACACTATGAAAACCAAAGGGAATAACATTGTCTGTGGGCTCAATCTGTCTTATAGACATCACATTTTTAACACACATCTTCCAACCACGAAGGGAATGTGGAAGTCAACTTTACAGCCTTACTTCTCTACTTAATGAGAAAAAAATATATCCAAGGGGCTCACAAAGTAAAATAAACATACAGAACCCAGCATTAGAACCCAGGTCATTGGAGTGTCATCCATTGTACATATTTTCTTTCCAATTATTCCCCTCAATTGACCTACGGCTTTTGACAGTTTTTGTTGTTTGTTTTTCCAAACAACAACAGGTTAGGACTGAAGATGACATGAGGTGAAGAGGGTTTTCACTGAGTTGTACAGTCAGTGGAAAACCCACTTGGATGCCTCACTTCTCCTCCCATTGCCACCCAGAGTCAGGGATGTCCCAGTTAACGTAGTGCCAACGAACTCTTGTCCTTGGACTGCATAGAGTATATTCTGAACTCCAGTGACCTCCTCATCCCTTAAATTTTGAGGACAAGCCAGGGTTTATTTACAGTCTACAGTCTCTCACAGTCTGTGGATTCACCTGTCAGCTTGCACTTGACACTGTTCTGGCCCTGCCCTGAAGGAGGTATGCATATCTTAATCTGCAGATGACAGCAGGGAAATTTTGTGGTTGATCCACAACAAAGGTCATTTTACATAATTTTAAAGAAAATAACATTTTTATTTACATACAAATCACTTGGGGACATCCCTAAATTCACCAAGAAATTAACCCCAACACAAATATTTCCCATATGGTATTAGGAAGTATCCAGAGCATAGCGAAGGGACTTTGGCATTGGATCTAATCAGATTCAGTTTCTACCTCTACCACTTAAAAGCTATGTGCCCTTGAATAAGTGAATTATCTTCTCTAAGCTGCAATTACACACAGGTGTGGATTAATTAAAACAATGAAAATAATGCTTTCAAACATTGTAAGAGCTCAAAAATGGTAACCCTGCTACACTATTGCTTCAACTTGATTTGTTAAAGACCTTAATATTGAAGAGTATTTTTGGGAAAATTTAAAGATTTAGATTGCATTCTTTCCAGAAAGATGTGAGGCCTAATTAACATCTTCTTTAAAACCAAAAACACTGCTAGTTTGGTAATTGCTTGACTTTGGTTTTAACAAGATTTCAATCTAGAAGCAATATCTGAGACATAAAAATGACAAAGAAAGGCCATGAGGTATTTAGATAAGACCTGACTAAACAATATAATGCTCCTTGTAATCATATAATCACATTCCTAATCTTTATGAGATGTTTCTTTGGAAGTTGCAGGTGTTGCCCACAATCTGGGACATCCATCATCATGTTTAGTTTGGACAGAGAAGTGAAATACAATGACAAGACATGTGTTTTTAGGATATTCTAAAGGCCTAAACTTAGAATTCTTAGGAACTGCTCAGGATCTTGTACCCTGGGCTGCCACTGATTATTTAATAACAGAACATTTGTACAGAATTTGGAAGATAGGCTCCTGAATGTGCTACTAAATAGATCTTGGCTAAAAGTTTGGGCAGAAATGGGGCTCACCCAGATTAGCAGTGCCAGATTCTGACAAATTAAATTTCAACACTTCTAGTCCAACTTGGCAGATGCTCATATCTGATGTCATACAGCCATGATGTAAGTTAGAAAGAGTGGTATTTTGCAATAGGGAGATTCTGGTAACCCTTCCCATTACTGTGGGTTACAGGATATCAATATTTATATCACATACAGGAAGCGTGCTACATTTTGTAATGCAGAAAAGTTAGAGGACTTACTCATAGTCTCTTCTGCATGCATGAATTGTCCTTAGGTTCAGCATCAAAGGCTTAAATTGCTGATGTTTGTCTTGTTATTTTCTTAAGGCATTTTTTCAATTAAATATAATGAATGGAAATCTTATTGACGTCACCAAAATAGACATGTCAAAATTAAAGGATTAGATCTGCATTGTGCCAGGAAACACTAAAAGATGAACTATGTTATAATTTCATCCTCTTTAGATTTTATGTAAACATGATTATACAAAAAGCTAATTTGGGGAAAAGGATACAATGACAAGCTGTTGTCGCTCAGGTATGACTGAAATTACAGTGTTTCCTCTACACCCCCATCACAATCTAAAATACTAAATAATGCACAGTGGGCTGGAAGAGTGGCTCAAGTGATAGAGCACCTGCCTAAATAATGATGTACTTATAAATATTGATGACCTAAGAATGTGAAGGGCAGACACATGGAGAGACTAAAGGGGAAATGAAAGAATTTGATGAACCCCTTGGCCAATTCGATTTAGTCAAAGATGCCAGAAACCTGTCATTTCTTTCTTAAATGATTTGCCCAAGTTAATAATCCATAATTGATAGCTGAAAGTGTAGGTCTGATGCAAGGTCTTCATGGCAGACTCTTTTTAGGGTGTTATTGGATATAGAAAGAAAATAAGAAAATGAAACATTTTTCAGATCATTTTGTATTTATGAATCTATCTGTTTAAGTCTTGCTTATGTATACAAATATTGGTAGATATACCTCTAGCTCCATAGGAAAGCCAGTGATTCTTTGCGGTAAAATTAACCCCAGGAGTTATGAGATCACAAATTATTTCATATGAAATACTACATACATATGGCTTTCATATGTTTCTATGCATTCTCACTGGGTGAGAAACTTGAATCTGTATTAGTTTGTGTTTTGGTTATCATTTTGGTTTGGCAAACTGAGTATTTTAATTCTTTGTTGTTCTAATTTCTATTTGTTGTGTTTCAAGTTGACAAGCATTTATAGGCAGCAAATATTTATAACCACTTACATTATCATTTCCCCCAAACTATAGTATGCACTCCTCTTTTCTTTTATCAGGATGAAGTTCTTAATTAGTTAAAGGCAGTTCTTTATTGTTTCTTTTTTGACTCTATCTGGCTTTTTTACAACTTTTTGAAATGCTCAGAAAGAGCATAGCTTTCTAGGTGCGGTTGCTGGAGTCACTGGGAGGAACCTTCACTAACCCAGTCCTAGGTATGATGCAATTTGCATAGTGTTTGAGGACATGCAGAAAGTGCTGACATACAATTCGTCTGCATTAAATTCCTTCTGAAGGAAAAGCAAAGCAAAGCAAGGGCAATACTTTCTCTGAAAGGAAAGAAGTGAATGGAAAGTTGTGACAGTGAAAATGGAGGCTTATTACTATTCAAGTCTGAATGAGAAAAACATACATTTAGATTGAATCTAAAAAGAAAAGTGACAGCTGTTATTATTCTTTAAATTATTTTGTGCTTCCTTCTAAAATAAATTATTATTTTACAAACTGAACATTAAAATATACACCTATGATAACATCCACTTAGAAGTGGAGTTATGATGGAAGTGTTAATTATAGTGCAGGTGTAAAAAATATTTTCTTCTCCTGTAGTCAAAATTTAGAGCTACTAAGCCATTGTAGAAAATGAAACCAAGGCCCAAAGAAATTAAGGGACATGTACAACACTGTTGAAATTATGTGGCAGAAATAAAAATAAAAAGGAAGGATCTTGATTCCCCAATGGTTATTTCTACTATTGTTCCATTTTTCTATGTGCACATCTGTTAGGAAGTTTCCAGAAACAGTGAAGTTTCCACATATTGTTTCTTTATCTAGTTCTTCAGTTTCTATTTCAAGACCAATTGCAGACCTTTTTTTAGTCATTAAGAGGATTCTAGGATTTCATCCAAATGGATCGTCACCAAGTAATTCCACTGACGAAAGGAAGAAGTGATGAGCAAAAGCATTCAGGGAGAAGTGGGTCCAACACAAAATTTTATAATCCATATGGAAGCAGAAGTGCATTCCTTACTCAGGACTTGATATTCAAATGGCTTTCAGTCCTCAGAAACACTGTAGCTTATTCCATACTTCACATATAATGATTGAACAGTGTTGTCACAAAGTGAGTTTGATTTGTGTTTGCCTCTGGCCTTCCACTTTCTTTCAATGGCTTACATTTAGACACGTTTGGTTCACTTGAGCAGCCATAAACTTATCTTGCACTAAAAATTGACATCAAATTCCTTTAGACACCATGAAAAAAGAAAGCCAGTGAATGAAAAGACAGAGGTCCCTTTCAGGTAGTTCAAAATGCTGGGTTCTTCATGTATTGAAGAAAGCTTGGCATTGCTTAAACTTGCTGCAAGGTGGATAATTGTTTCTGTGAAAATTCACATCTGACCTGCTCAGAAGCACGAAACACAGTCTTTCTGCAGTAACAGCAATAACCACAACGACAAACCTGGAGTGGGACCATAAACTTGACCTGCCATTGTAGCTTGTTCACTTCACTTCTCTGGCACCCAAAAATGGCAAAATCTGAAGACCAAGGTTGAGTTCTAAACTCTCATTCCATTATGATCCCAACTGTCATTATTGTCAAGTCTAGTCAGCTTTGGCATGTTTGGTTGTTTCACTTGAAGATTTCAATTTGGGTCCCACTGATTTTTCCAAATGATTCGATGAAAATGCCACATAAAGCCTCACAGTGGTCTCCCTCCAGAACAGATGTTGTAAGGTGATTTCAATTTCAGACACCTAAAATAGAGCATTGGTTTCCATATGACTCGTTTGTGTTGATCATGCTGAGGATTACACAAATGTGCTGGTACACGAGTTGTTTTTGGTGCTTACCCAAATCCTCTTCCTCTATTGGTAGACCCACCCCTCAGTGGCAGTAACTGGTGAACAGTACCATCCTGGCCCAGAGTATTGCTCTTGGCCCACAGAGTAATGTTCCAGGAGATTCCTGGTAGGTTACAAGCCCCTGCCCCTACCCCACCATGAATATCTTGTGGCCCATAATTGATGAATATGGAGTATAAAACCAAGATCACTCTGTTGGGTCTGGGGGATTAGAAGACAAAATGAGCCAGTGCCCCCATCCCCCATGAGAGCCTTGTGGGCCCCATATCCTGTAAAGGGACAGGCAGCTTCACAAGTCATGGCCCCCTGGGGATGCCTCAAAAATGCCACAAGGCTGATAAAACAGGAGGCTTTCACAGAACTGTGTACATGTTCCTGTAGAGATATGTTAAGAGACCACTTCCCTCCTGACTCCTGCACCTCTCCTCCCCAACAACGTGTGTTTCTACAAAGATATGTTAAAAGACCACTCCACCCCAATTCCTCACTCCCAAAAGGATGAATTAGCCCCCCCCACCCCCCCACTCCACTGTGAACAACAGAGCTACTGATTTTCCAGGCTCCCTGTTTATCTCTAAGGGCAGCTTTTCCTTCCTCTCTAATAAATCCTACTTATGTGCTGACCTTGCCATCCCATAAGTCAATTCACTGCCTCATGAGCCAATTCTTTGACTGGTGAAGGCAAGGACCTTAGATACTGGTCCACAACAACTCCTTGGAACAGAACTATGAGGCTATTCACATTCCAGATCTGCCTTTGGAATCAGGCAGAAGCCTGATGTGACTCAAGCCACACCTTTGTTTAGCTGCTTCTGCTGTTCTTCTGCTTTCTTTACTTCATCACAGCTTTCACCTTAGAGCAGCTCTTCTTCACCTGTCACATGCACAGCTATCCCCATGTCTAGGGAGTCTGATCTGAGACAAATTGATTAAGACTAGGCCTTTCCTTGTCCTCCTCTTCCTCATTATTATTCTTGGTCTTTTAGACAAACATGAAACTGATAGAATATAGATTTGATTCTCTCTAAGATTCAGTTCTTAAGCAAAACAAGCTTTTTAAATTTTAGATGATTGCCATTTTTAAAATGGCAACGTAGTAAAATACAGTAAGGGAAATATATTTGTATTTTTAAATTAATGTACCTCACATTGTTTCTTATTTCTCCTTAGCTACATGGATTTAAAAAAAATCATTAGTGTGGCAAAACCAGAAGTAAAGATGAATACATATTTTGTAGATGAAGTTTATCATCTTAGGTTTTAAGCAATAGAGACTATCTTCTGAACATACTCTCAACTGGAGTCAGTGGAGAATATCGCCTATGTTGATCACACATTTTCAGTCATTTAATATTCACTTCTTGATTTTTTTCACTCAACAAATATTTACTCAGTGTCTTTTGCATACCAGACATGTAATTAGAAAGTGAATATATAAATTGTGAACAAGACATACTTGATCTCTACCTTTTGGGGCCTGCTGCCTGACTCATTCATAATTTTAGCTTAGGCAGATCCAGATAGGAAGAAGGGAAATTATAAATTTTCACTATCCTATTGGAACTGAGGTAAATTTTTACCATTTGTATAGGAACATCCCAGATTTATACTCATTTTTCACTAACAAATTATACACACTAATGCCTGGAACATCCTAGGGCTCAATAAATGTTCATCAAATTATTGATGAACATGAGGAGTAACTTTATATTTTGTCTTTTTCATACCTCTTTCTTATGTAGCAGTAAAACATAGCAAGAAAACCACTTAATAGTAATCCAACGCCAATCCCAATTGCAATGTATTTTTCGTAAGAATCCACAGCATATGAAGTTAAGGTCAAGTGCTCACACCTTTCTCCAGTATAACCAGTAAAACATCTTTAAAAAGAGAAAAGAATGTATAATTTTTTAAAGTTTATAGAAGTATAAAAGAATGACAGATTTCCAAGAACAAAAAAAAAAGCAAATTAAATTAAAGAGGCAGATATCAAATGAAAACCAATCTATTAAAGCTGACATGTAGCTATGACTTTTACCATAAGCAGCTCATTACCATCTCACATTTCCCCCTCATTAATAGATAGGAAAGGCAGTACACTTGTCAAGAAAACTGAACAAATTGATGACCATAAACATAGATTCTTGGGGGCTAGAGTCAGGGCTCAAGTGATAGAGCACCTGCCCAGGAAGCATGAGGCCCTGAATTCAAACCCCAGTACTACAAAATAAATAAATAAATAAAATTATTAGTTGCTGCAGAATTTTATATTCCTGAATTTTCTTTTTTGCTTTAGTCTGTTTCATTTTATCCTATAAACAATTCTGTGAAAATGTAAAATCATCTTTACATGTTGTTAAAAGTGATGATTCTGATTCAGCAGTTCTGGGTTGGAACACAAAGTCTGCATTCCTAACAAGCTCCAGGTTCCAGACATGCACTAATCTGAGGAATATATTTTTGAGCAATGAGGATTAAGTAGTTTAGAAAAAGACTCTGTAGATATATAAGTACAAAGAAGACTGCCAAGTCATGTTCAGATCAAGCACCATTTTTACTGAGTAAAAATGTATGCCACCTTCTCCTGTCTCAGGGAATTGGGATGTTCTTTGCAATTACCTGCAGATGGCTTTCTTTAGCTCATGGTTGAATGCACATACACCATTGATGCAGTAACTATTATGATCTTCCAGACAAGGGTGTGAGAACTTCAAGGCTATGGGTCCTTCTATGTAGTCAGCTAGGAAAAAGAGATATGGTATAAACAGATTAGATGCCTAATTTTATGACAATTTTTCAATACATACATAAAGAGCCCTTTTATTTTAAGAACATTTGGGGATGGTTTACTCCTTGAACTATTGATTCCTCTGCAATGTTGGCCACATCATATAGACATATCATTATTTAATTAGAGGGTAGAGGAGGATTAAGGATTGTTCCATTCTTTAGAAGCTACACAATAAGGTATAGAGACAACAAGTTTGCCAAAAGATGGCAGCACAGGTTCTATTCTTAGCAGGTTCTTTTGAGCAAGGCTTTCCAGAAGTGTACCTGAATGCTAATAAATACAGATGATATCACATAATCCTTGTATTTTTCCCTTTACACTGAGAAGAAAACACTTAGGAAGATTTCATTTACACTTGAGAGGTAACAAATTAGTTTTTTATTCCCTCTCCAGAGGAAAGGAAGATGAGAATTCCTCCTTACTTTTATGTGAACTATCTTGAGGGGCTAATTAAAAAGAGGATCTTATCCCTAACTGATGTCAGAAGAGGTATTTTTATGACTTTTACAAGAAACCAGAAACAATTTATGGCTCAGGAGAACATAACTAATGACAATACCTTTGAACATTAATTAAATGTTTTATTCAGTTAAGACACACTGTGAGATAGTGGTAAGGACTAGGGATTTGGGATTTGAAAATACCAGTCTAGCTCTAACACTATACAGTGACCATAGCTGAACACAATTTTGTCAACAAGAGTCCAGAAACCTTATGGGAGACTCTTTTCAGAAAGGTGTGGTCAGACAAAAGGTCTGTGTTTCAGGAGTTCTCTTGATTCTCTGAAGTGCTGAAGACAGTGGGAATGACTCAGGTGAAAATGAAGAATTGATTCCTTTTCCCATAAACTTTAATTACCATTTAAAAATTTTTTCTCAAGCAGAATTAATTAGTGGCATTTTACTTTATCATGGCCACAAATAGACATACCTCCTCATTGTTAAACATCATGCTATATACACTACACCATATTTGCCTCCCTAAGGAGATTAAGAGAAATCTACCTAAAAAACAGATCTAAAAGATCTCTTTTATACTGAAAATACCAAATCTTTAGTCACTTTGGTAGCAACAAGATACTATGTTGTATCACTTCACTTTAAGAACCTAAAATTTCCTTAAAATTCACGTTAATTTTACTGAATGTAGTGTAGCAAGTATAATTTATTATAATTAATTCTGAGGCAGTGAGAATTTCCTACATAAACAGTGCTAAGCTCTTCTCTTTTTTTGAGGTTCTGGGGCTAGACCCACTGCCTAAGCAACTGCTGTACCACACACAGCCTAGCCACTAGGTTCTTTATAATTCAATACTAAAAAAAAGTTCATTTAACCAAGCCTGAAACAGGATTTGCTATGAAAAAACCCTAAGATTCTTTATTCTCATTTTTAATTTAAATAAAAAGCAAAAGAAGTAAATTTTCCTTCAAGACAGCAAAAGAAAAAATATAAAATGATATAGTCAACTCTTGTATGTACAGTTTGCCATGAAGGAAGAAAAATGGCTGAGAGTGGGAATGTGATGATGATTGTCATGATGCCATACTGAGCGGAAGCTACGCTTCTTTAATTTTTCTACAATATTATTGATATAGTCTAATAAAAATGCTTCCTATTTGCTCAATGACTAAGAAGACATAAAGGTGACTAAACGTTATTCTAAAACCCACACTGATTTTGTTTTACAAATTGGTATTCAAAAATCAAATGAGTAAAATATTTTAAATTAATTGTTTAAAATTATTGGTGAAATGAGGAACACTTAAATCTTACTGCCTTTCATATTTGAAAACAAAATACTTGACTTGCTCTTCTTTAATTTGCTGTGCACTGAGAGAGAGCAAGAAATGATGTTTCCTCTGTGCTGAATTACATCACCAGTCTTCACATCAGGGATCGGGGGCATGGTATGGTTTTCATGAGCTTTGTACTACTTAGTCACAGGTCTTGACAAGCAAGAAGCTTTCCAAGTTTACCTCTAGTTCAAACAGGCTTGAAAACAATCTCAACAGCAGCCAGGAGCCACTGTAATAACAGTAATGGATAGAAGAAAAACCATGATCGCCATCAACAATGAAAATTGGATATAGATGGTTAGGAAATGTAGTACACGCTAAAACAGCAATGAAATGCCCCAAGTAACAAACAGGAAGAAAAGATCCTTCCAAAGACAAGGGGAAGTGCTTCATCTTAGAGCCATAATTTCTTGGTGGCTAAGCTTACAGTCACAGATCAAAACAGGATGTCTCTCATCAAGAATGCCAAAATTGCATAAAATGACACAGGACACACTTGGGTTATTGGGGACCAAGCAGCAAATGTGGTGTGTTTTACATTCAGGACAGGAGCTGAAACCAGCTTCTTTCTTACCCGTAGGTTTACTTCCTCTTTATAAAAAAGGCAGTGCGTGGCTGATACATTTATTTGTCATTCCAACTAAATAGCATCTTGCTAAAGGAGTTGATTATCTAGCAACATATATTGTTAAAACTTCCAATGTTTCTTCTATCTTAGTGCAAATTTCTCTCAAAAGGTTTTAAAAAGTCACTTGAAATATAAAGATGTAAAGAAAATACCTTCAGTTTTGTTAACTGTCCAGTTAGTTTGCTGGGTTGTGTGTGTAGGCATTAAGGTCACAGCCACCTCTTCAGCCAATGTGGTCATTGCTGCATTAAGAGAGGGAAGCATCTTTCATGGGTGAATCTCCTTCCACGTGCAAACAGTAATCCAATGTTAGTCTTACTCTGCTTATTCCTATTTTCCTTTCTGTTTTCAATTTGTTACATTTGAAATCCAGAATCTGATTTGGACAATCTCCTGATTACGTCTCAGCTATTTCACTGACTGCATTGTAATTAGAATGCATTGAAAATAGAAACACATGAATTTGTAACACAAAGTTGCAAATTGATATTCAAAATTCGAATGAATAAAATATTTTAAGTTAATTGTTTAAAATGATCAGTGAAATAGGGAATGCTTACATGTTGCTATCATATTTAAAAAATATATAATGTACATATATATACTAATTCAATCACAATGACATTGTACTGTAGTATAATAACAAAATTTTATCAACTACCATTCAATTGTACAAAGCAAACATTCTGGAGTTCTCAAAAAAAAAAAAGGAATCAAAATGTAGGAGAGGAACACACATTCCATAAAAAACTTAATCTATAGATTCCTTGCTCTGATTTTTGTCACCAACTGTTAGAAGCCAACTTTAAATTCAGAGAAATAAATCCTCTACAAATTTTACAGTGTTACAGATTTAACAAAACATAAAGGAAATTACCCACCTTTGAATAAAAGACAGACTGATATAGGAACTCCCAAAGCCATATCCCGTAGTTGCTACACTTTCTTTCTCTTGTCCTCCTAGACTGAAGGGTGGAGGGTTTTTATTGCGCTCCGTGAGTCCTTCCATTTATATTTCATGAAGCGTCATCTGGCAGTTCTTACCAATCAAAAAAATATGTACTTTTGGCAGCCACATAAAGCCTCCAGGCGCTCACGCACTTGTTTAGGATACCTGTGTTATCTTGAGATGTGATCAAGTTTCCTTTTGAAACACTGGTTTCCTGTTACCTGTGGGCATAATCATGTATGTAAAAGTACTTAAAACAACAAAAAAGAATATGAATTCAGAAAAGGCCCCATTCTTGCTCTGCCAGAAGTTTATATAGAATTCCAACAAAGATGTTTGCAAACTAGGAAAGAGCATGATCTGTAAATACAAAAAATAATTCAGTTATGCTTTCTTTCTTACAGACTCTTGAGTTCCACTGCAAATCAAAATATTTTATTAATTCATTTGCAAGGGAGAAGAGTAAATTTTGTCACTTAGCTTTGCTTATGAGAAGTTCTGTAAGAACTTCTGCCATTAATTCTGCCATTTAATGTTTTTCTGAGTAAATGGAATGGCCTGACAAGTTCTAAAAACAAGAATGCCCCAATGACTAGGCTACAGAGAGCCAATAAAGTACCAAAATAATAATAGTAACAATAATTAATAATATTCTCCACAGAGACAAAATGAAGACATTTAGTTTAAATACATCTAATGAACAGAAATTCTTAATTTTAATACATTTAAAGTTTTCTCAGTTATCCTAGTTATAATTACTAAAATACCATTATAAAACCCAAAACATGTAATTATTGCTATTATATTTTCTGACACTAGGGGTTTTCCATAAGTTTCATTTGCCCTAAATTACTATAGATATTTATGTTTTGTTGAAATGTGTCTTTTTACCTAGAATTTCAGTTGCTTATGTTTTCTAAACTTTGAAAACTTGTTCAAGACATGATAGGCCATCATTTGCATCATGTCTACCCAGCAAATTAGATTTTTCGGAAGGAATCCCTTTCTATATTCAAATGTAAATCTGGCTTTAGAAATCACACAAGATTGAGCTTGTTGTACTCATTATAACTTGGGCAATCACTTACCACAAGAGTCATCATTTTAAAGTTAAAAGAATATTACTTCTTGGCTTACTTTAAATGTGCCTACATTTTTATCACTACTTTTATGGGTTTATTTGAAACCTGTTTATTAAATCAATTTCTGGGACTATTTTTCCCAAACAAATAATATTTGAATTATAAATTGAAGAATTCTTTTCATACAATTGGTGAAAATTTAAGAAGAAATCATTTATAAGGGGTAAATAAATGTAATTCCTTTTTCAGTGTCTGGGGAGAGATGTTATGATTCACGTTAAGTCACTAAGTTTATCTATCTATCTATCTATCATCTCTCTATCTCTCTCTATCTTTAGAGTGCTGGTTATAAACCTAGGGCTTCACATATGCTAGGTTTGTGATAGATCTATCACTGAACTATACCTCTAGCTCAAATATCTTTATTTTTAATACTGATGCATACAAGTAGGATGAGCGTTTTTTAAATAAAGATTAACTGGCACTAGCATGGTACATTGTATTTCACAGGGTTTTTAAAATATACATCTCAATTCTTTCTTCAGTAATACTTTCCCAGATGAATACAGTGACCAAGACATAGTAAATACCCGATGAATCTGAATTCATAAAGAACTAAATAACTGGCTTTATTTCTATTCTCAAGTGACAAATGAGGAATGGAGGCTCAAAAGAGTTGAGCAGGAGCAGATGGCAGCTTAGTGGTTGAGGATATAGTTAGCATGAGAGATTCTAAGGGTCTCATCTCCAACACCGCAAGAAAAAGAAAATTAGTGATTTGCCAAAGGACTTGCCTCAGAGTCAGGATTTGAATCCCATTTTCAGATTCTTAATGTCTTTGCATTTCTGTGTCCTCTGGTAGGAGTACATGTACAGATCTCACACGAAGTCCCTGGATTATTTCCAAAATCAAGCTTTCTTTTATTATAATAAAATAATTAAATGAACTGTGGTTTTTAGCCGTACCTGGGTTGAGAAAGGTGAATGCCTGCCTCTCTGAATGCTTCCTATTCTGGTAAATTATGTCATATTATATAGAAACTTATCTACCATTTTGGCAGGGGTTCATTCTAAGTCATGTCACTGCTGCCTTCCCACTGGGGTCCATACTAATGGTTCCCATTCCCACTCCAACTCTACAGGGAAGTCTGCTCCCTCTCTTCTTCAGTCCTCTCACCAAAAAATCCTTTTTCTCAATACTGAAGAATGAAAGACATGAGTATTGTAAGTTGGTCTCACTGACATCTTTATTCATTCCTAATATACATTAAGGCAAGTTAGAGAAAATAGGTGAGAGGCCAAGAGCTCCATTATTGTCTTTCTCTTATGTCACATTCTGTTGTCTTATGTATTAACCTCTTTCCTCTAGTCATCATCATCTCACCTTTCCTTTCCTTTTAGACCTTTCTTTTTTTCTTGTTCTTTCACTAATTCAACCAGAAGTGGTGGCTGGTTATTTCTAGGAAATGTTCATTAGTCTGTTTCTCTTTAAATTTATTCTGTAATTCTTATGGAATCAGTTGCCATTCATTCATGAAATATTGGATGCCTACTGCATCAATAGCACTGAGATGGGTGTGATTATATTTATAAAATAAATGGATAGATAATTCATGTATTCTGACCTCAAAGAACTATAGGGAGTTAGGGAAAGTATGCATGTAACTACAGTACTGTGCAGGGAGTAACAACTGTCATGAATATGTGCATAAAGGGTTATGACAGTTGAGAGGTGAAGCTTAATCCAACTCTCATGCCATTTTTAATGGAATAGTTTCATTTGAAATGAGTCTTAAATAGTAAGTAAGATTTAGACATGTAGTGAAAAGAGAAAGAATTCTAGGTGAATGGGGACATTGAGAGGAGGCAGAATCGAATAGTGAAAACATCAGGCTCTGATTCACATCATCCCAACACACCTTGTCTTAAATTCAAACTTTATTCATTTGGCTTTGCTGAGACTTTTTAATAAACAGAAGGGTGAATTTCCTCATCTACCAAATAGATATCATTAGTAAGGAGAAAGAACAAAAAATAAAAATAAAAGGAAGTATTTAGCACATAATAGGTACTCAGTTAAGGATAGCTGTTACTGTTGAATAAGTGTAGAAAGATACAGGATATATATAGTAGTCACCACTAAGTTATGAATGCCCATCCTCTTCCCAAACTGGTATTGCTTCAGCACTCTTACTTATATATTATGTCATCACCTCAAGCTCAATGTGTCTTAAATTAAACAAATTATCTCTTCTGCAAAATCATTTCCCTAATATAACTTCCTTATCTGAATCAATGATCACATTATCTAACCTCTAACTACAATTCTCATTGCTTACTAAACATGGTCTAAATTCCAATTTATCAGGGTTTCCTCTAATCTGTTTTTGCATATTAATCCAGCAGTCTTTCTACAACTTTCCAAATTATACATTTAATTTTCATCTGACTGCAAACCTTGCTTTCAAATATATATGCATGTGTATGTCTTGATATCTGTATATCTATGCATATGCTAAACTTTTTACCTCAATATCTCATATTATTGTTTAACTTCCATTTATAATTAAGAGTCCTCTTTATAGATATATTTAATGTAGGAGACGAAAATGTATATCCTCAGACTTCCCCAAAAGGCCATGATATGTCTATATTTTGGTGACTCCAAATATTCATAAATAAAGTCATGAGACCAATGAATTAGTTTGATCTCTTTTATGTATTGACAAAGACTCTTTCCTTCACCAACTTTAACCAAGCTCATCTGAGCCCTCTTCTTGACAAAGCCTTGACTTTGGCCCACTGACCTTGGCTTTAGCAAAGAATCCTGCTAAATCAGTTTTTTGAAACCCCCATCTCTTTGTAACAATCTGATCATGTCACTCGTACCCTACCCTCAATAGCTAAGTCTTTGGCCTTTTGCTATCAAGAATACTGATAAGCCTGTTTAACAAGAATTTCCCTCTTCTTGATATCTAATCATGTCCTCTTAGTAATTTTCTATCTATGACCCCCTATCTCTGCTCATTGGCTATAAATCCCAAACTGTCTTTGTTTTGTATAGAGTTAGGTTCAATCTCTTCTCTGTATAGTGTACACTCCATTGCAATAGCCTTGAACAAAGTCTTCTTTACCACTTTAAACAAGTATCAGAAATTTCTTTTTAGTCTTTTAGAAGGCTGAATATGAATATTATTCCAAAATAATCCTTCTGGAACCATGAAGGGAGGTGTCTCAAAATTATAGTCTTTATAGTCTTCATATCCATGTATTTTTGGTCATTTTATTTGTTTTAGGAGTTGGGGACCTTTAAAATATAAAGAGGCCCTTCCTAAAATGTTTGCTTGCAAGCTTTCAATTTACATTTCTGTCAAGACAATTGGACCAAGATTTGTATGGACCGATTGTATAATATGTTGTAGTGTCTTAACTTACATGTATGAGAAAGTTACTACATTTTTTCCAGCATGAGGTAAGGAATTGGGTAGCAAATATATGAACAAAGAAATGTGTGGCTATCTTACAAATATAAAAAGAATACAACCATTCTTCTTTGAATTGCTTTTATTAAATATGTAAAATTTTATTAATTATAAACATCTAATCTATTTTCACACAAATAAACAAGAGTACACATTGATAAAGACACGCATTGAATAAGAGTCACTACTGGTACACAAACATACAGGTGGGATTTGGGCATAAAAACACAATACCAATTGTATAATTGGTATAATTGTATAATTACTACTATTAGTAATTTCAAAATAGTCTTCAACTAATATTCACATGGATTTCCTAATTTAAATCAAGTAAGAAACACCACATTTATTTTGAGAGACAAATGCCATTAGCAGAAGAGGGAAGAACTGTTGGCACCAGCAGTTGATATTTAGTTGCATCCCAAGGTTTAGTTTTGGCATATTGGAAGTTTATGATTTCCTAGTAGATTTCTAAATTTGTGAATGAACAAACATCAGCTACTGTTCTTTGATTATAATCTCACTCACTCTATGTCATATTTATCTGATATTTAAGGGAAAACACAATCAGTTTTATTTTGTATATTTATTTTTGTAAGTGAAAGTACTGCCCAAATATTTTTTAAAGAAGAAAGAAATGAGATGTAAACCTATCATATTCCTCATGTATTCTTACTGTGGCAAGCAGTCATTCATGACATGATAGAATCTTTACTTTTTCAAGTAATGAAAAGGCATTGTGTACTTTGCTTTCCTTGAATATTTTTCTTTAATCAATTATCACTTTTCATTAGGATGGCCTTGTAGGTTGCATTTGGGAGACATGTGAGATTAAGATTTTTATTTTCAACATTCTTTTAACAAGTAAGCTCTTTTTCAGAAGATGACCTAAAACATGAAATACATTGAAAATTGAGCATGTTATATGGTAAAGCTGAAATTACATTTTACATTGGTGTCCATTTGACTGACAAAACATTTGTTGAACACATACTGTGTGATATTTAATTATGTCAAAATATATTTTTATTGTGAACCCTTTATTATACTAACATTATGAACAAATATCCATAAAATAAGCAATTGTTACCATTGGAATTGTTTTGGTTTTTCCTAAGACTCCAAATTCATTAGTAGGAAATGTATAAAGTTGTGTGAATCGTCTGATCCACAATGATTATATCCATGAAAAAATAAACACAATGTAGAAATAAATAGCTTTGTAGTAAAATATAAAGTTATTTTCCCTTTGTCAAATAAATAAACAGTGTGACTTCAGTTCATTTTATTCTTTCATGTGATCTAGTAAATGATGTTTTTAGCTGCCAGAAGGGTGTTCTTCAGAAGCATTGCCACTGTCATGGGTCCTACGCCTCCTGGTACTGGAGTAATATAGCCAGCTTTCTTCTTGACAGCTGAGAGAGAATACAGAAAATATTCTTCATCTCTAAATGTGTCTGGGAACTTCACATTTTAAGCATGCAGAATGTAAAGGATTTTTCCACATTACACATATAACTCTAACAACCTTTCAGCACTTTTAGAATGTACAAACATCCCCCCACATACACTCATACAAACATGATGTCTAAGGTAGACAGAGAGAACACACTGGGACCAAGACTGATGGTTCAATCTCTATACTGTTCAGTTAGCTTTGCATGATGAAAGTTATAACTTATGATTCACCTACTTACCTGTAACTCCAGTTAGCTACTTCCTAAAGACATGATAGTCACATGCTCAACACATGCCATTCATGAAATTGAATCATCCCTGTTATAACAACATTATCAGGTGTGCCTAGATAATACATTTCAGTATAACTCTAATAAAAATCATCAAATATATTTGAATTCCTGAGCATATACACATAGTACTGTTCAAAGCTATAAAGATTTTTTTATTCAATGAACATAAAGAAAATGACACAGAACTTTCAGCAAGGTTTAAAATGTTTCCACACCCACAGTATTAAAGGTGAATGGCTCCATGCATTCATCGACTTAATGGTTCCATGATTTACTAGTTGAATAACAGAAATGAAGTTTTTCCAGATAACTCTTTTAGGACAAATTTAGCATAGACAATACTTCTTTAATGCATAATTTGGCATTATTAATTACATGGTACTTAGATGCATTGTCTTTTGCAAGTTTTCTCCTATACACTTTTATGTGACTCAAAACCAAGAGATGTTTTTTAGATCCTGTACTATTTTTGTGCAATTTATTTTGCCTTTTTGAAAGATTCTTTGTAAAATTTACTTTTACCTTATTTGAATGGAGAAACACATTGAGATAATTTTTTAAACACAGGAAAAACAAAGGAATAATATTGTTTAACTTAAAGAAAAGTCCAAATAAGTGTAAGTATATCACACAAAACTCAGCTAGTGTGTGTCATGAATCTTCTGATGGTTTGTGGTATTGTTTGGATGTGGTTTGAGTGTCTTCCAAAGTTTCAAGTGTTGGAAGTGTGGCACTGAATGTGGCCGTATGATAAGGTGAACCTAGTGGAAGAAAGTTATGTCTTGGGGGCACTGCCTTAGAAGGGATTAATTTAGTTTTCAGGGGACCTTGGTTAGTTCCTGTGAGATTGAGTTGTTATAAAGGAGTAAGTTTGGCCTCTCCTCTCTGGCTTCCTTTCCTACATTATCATTTTGACATCACTCCCACCATTGTGACGCCATCCACAATGACACTCTCTTCAAAGCTAAGCAGAAGCCAGTGCTATGCTCTTAGACCTTCAGAACTGTGAGCTAAACAAACCACTTCTAGTTCAAATTTCATAGCCTCTAGTATTTTGTTAAAGCTATGGAAAACAGACTAATTTAGTAAGTTATAAAGAAAAGACAAGATTTGGGTGGTAATATTTCAATTTTCCAAAAGTCTATGTCTCAACAGATTCTTTCTATTGCCATACTTCAGCCAGTGTACTCTGCTATAGAAACATTAAACTGGGTAAACAGCCATTCCACAAACAGCTACAAATTTTTAGTCCTTTCTTTCTTTGTTTTAGCTTTGGTTCTACCTGGAATAGTCTTTCACTTTATCCAGACAAGAAATATCTTATTATTCTTTAAAAGGCAATGAAATGTCACCTGTCTATAAGTTTTTTCAAAAACTTACCCCTCCAATATTAAATAGAAAGTTCCACCATCTATGTTTACAGTTATTTTCTAACTGCCTTCATTATGGAACTTACTGCATTGTCTCTTTTCCTAAGTGGATAAAGTACTAGAAGATGGAAGCCAAGTCATTGTGTTTGTTATTGCTGTTTTTAATGTCAGAATTTGTCTATGTGCAGGCTAGGTATTTAGTAAATTGATAAAGTAAATAGTTCTTATTTAAATTTTAAAATCTATTTTCAGAAGTGTGTTAGTACTTTTGACTAGATATAAATAATATCAATGTAGGTCAAGCTAATTTACTGAATAACTCAAGCTACTTATTTTGGTTGAGGTGACAAACTGTATTTTTCACTGGTCAATAAGATGACTTGATGGTAGAAGCAATGCCCTTGAGGGGGTGGGGGGGGCAGGGAAGGGTTTTTCCATCTCCCTGAAGGAGCAAAGCCTTTAAAACCTCCACAGATCTCTAGAAGAAATATGCTACTACTTGTTGCACTAATAGTATATAAATCATATATTTATAAAGCACTAAATTTGAAATATTAATATATAAAAATAAAACATGACTGAATAATATAGTAAAATAAGAATCAAATGCAAATGAAGTTTTTAATGAAAAACATTTTTTTCCAAATCAAAAACTGTAATAAAATTACTTACATCAGGAAATCTATTGTGGGTGCATAATATAATTCTTTTTATATAGTTTGTTTTTCAACTTAGAAAAGTAAAGTAGATATTATTTGTACATTGAAAAATAACAAATAACCACAGCTACTACCAGTTGGGTACCTACTTGTCAAGAAATGCATATACAATTTTTTTTGAGACACGATCTCACCATGTTGCCCAGGCTGTTCTTGAACTTACAGGCTCAAGTGATCCTCTTGGCTCAGTCTCTCCAATATTTGGGACTACATGCATGTACTACCAGGCTTTATACACATTATTTTAGTAATTTAATTATCATTTATTTTAATAGATGAGAAAAGCGTGGCTCAATGAAGTTACAGTGACTTATCACTCTCCCATATGATACAGACATTATTCACAACCAGGTTTGAAAAATTCTGTGATTACATAATTTTACCCCATTCCAATATAACTATATTACATGACCTAAATGAGAAGAAAAGTCCCAAGAATGGCTCCAGTGCCAGAAATTGACTCAGTTTTCACAAAGTATTAGGAGAATATTCTGAAAAAGAAACAAAGAGGAAGAGTTTCCAATATACTAATTTTCTTACATTTTTGAGTACTCATAACTTATCATCTCTGGATTACATTTTGCACTTCAAGTTATACAGCTGGCTTGGCAGTCCAAGTCATTTTATTCCATGGGCATCAGATCAGATAAATCACTGGTCTGCCCAGGTATCATGACCCTCCTCTTCCAAATTACACTTTATACAACAGGCTTACTATTGGATCTATGCTCAAGAAGAGAGGTTCTGGTGTGGAAAGAGGGATTGTGAATGAGCTGTTGCATAAACTAACATTTTCCTGAGTTTTAGCTCAACATCTGCAGTTTTGGACACTCAACTGGTAGAAACTAACACACATTTTTCTTGTTCTGCCTATCACTCTTCATAGAATTAAACTGTGATGGCTAATGGGTCTTCACCTCTCTTGGGTTACTACTTTCCTGAATATTAATAAGCATTTAGTAGCAACAGTGGAACCCTTTAAATTACTCAAAAGGCAGAAGACTATGATATTATTGTGGACACACCTGGTTACTCAAATACTTACTTCATTACTCATTTCAATCTGATTTACAAAACTATTAGGTCTTATTCTTTTTTATTAAATTTTCCTGAGCATCCATTTCTGAGAGAAAAAAAAATCAGTCTATATACTGCCAGATAGTGTTAGTGTATCTTTTGCTTATTTACATAAAGATCGAGATATGGAAATAAATGAATTCTAAAGAAAGGCAGGTAATTGTTAGCAAATACCAATAGGTTTAGATGCCAATACTTTTTAAAAAAAATTCTAAGCCAGGCCACAAGTCACGGTGACTTGGGAGGCTGGAGCAGGAAGATCACTTGAGCGCAGTCATTTAAGGCCAGGCTGGGCAGAATAACAAGATCCTGTTTCCTAAAACATTAAAAATAAAAATAAAATTCTACAGTTTAATGATTTTGCATACACATATCAAGGCCATTCTAGGCAGTATGTCTATGCAGCACCATAGGTGGTTTATGAGCTGAAATTAGCCAGGGGAGAAAGAGATAAATTCAGTTAATGCCTGATGCCCTGAAAAGCATCTTCCCCAATCATGCCTGAGAGTAAGTTAACAAACATTACATCATCAGAATAACTTCTCACTGGCTAATCCCTTCCTAATGGTAGTTAGGATTTGTACCTGCTTATAAAGATGATGCTTTTAAAAATTAATTTTATTATGTATAGAATAAGATCTACAAGTTTCATTGTAGAGAAACACAGAAGCATTACAGGGAAGTAATTTCCTTCAAAGACTTATTAACTGTGAGTACAGGGGTGAGATGATATACATGCATGTGTTTATGGAAAATACAAAAAGTTCTGCATATATGAGAATCAGGTGTTAGATCTGAATTGGTATCAGTAACTTCATAATAAGCTAATGAGCACATAGGAAAAATCAGTGTCGGGTTCACTCTAAATTCACCATGATTTGAGAGGTATTGAAACTGTTTGACAATTAAGACAAATAAAACAATTATGAAATTCTAAGGTCTGAATGGAGGAACTTAATCTGGGGAGTAAGACTTAGATGGATATTACTTGATAATGTTTAAAACAATTTCTTGAAAATAAGAATAGTTTGCTGGAAGGTAACGATTATGACAATTTATTGGAATACCCTCTCTACAAACTTCATACTGCAATGAAATTTCTACAGATTTTCTTGAAAATGCTATGGCTGTCTTAGCATGGTTTAGAATGTTAAAGAGTCTTGTGTTTTGTACAATCATATTGTACTCTTTTTCTAACATTACCCATATTCATTTCTCCATCTGGTGAGTATTTATTCTTCTTTAGACCTAAAATAAATGTCATTTCCTTTATAGAGCTTGTTAACTCCTCAGGCTGAGTTAACTGTTCATTCATTGATCCATGCAACCTACAGAATGATTTTTTTCAATTTGCAGTCATAGAGCATGTTGGAATCTCTTGTAAATTAAGTCAAACTACATACACTTCTTCTCACCCCAAAGAACCTTTGTCTGAAGTGAGAAATGTTTCTAAATGGTAGGAGAGGAGTATTATACATACAAACAAGGCAGAATAAAT